GGGGGGGAACTGCAGAGATAGATCCCCAATAACAGAAACTCTGGGACCCACTTTTAGCTGTTGCTTTCTACCCAAACAGCAAATTCTCATCTGTGTACTCAGGTGGAAACTATGTGCAGATATCGATATAGATATCAGCTCCTCTTTCTGCCCCATTCATTGGTCCACTCATTCTTTCCGGAAGCATTCATGAAGCACCCACAGTGGACCACATGGTATGCTGAGTCCTGAAGACTTAGAGCTGACTACTGCAGTGACAGTGTCATAGACAAGTAGGCAAAATAAACAAGGCAAGTGGTCATGACGTGGTGGGTTGAAAGAAAATGGCCCCCAAAGAGAATGGCAATATTAGGAGGTGTGGCCTCATTGGAGAAAGTGTGTCATTGTGGAGGCAGGCTTTGAGGTCTCATTTATGCTCAAGCCATGCCCAGTGAGACAGATCACTTCCTGTTGCCTGTGAGTCAAGATGTAAGACTCTCAGCTGCTTCTCTAGCACCATATCTACCTGCATGCCATCATGTTTCCCGCCATGTTTCCTACCATGATGGTAATGGAATAGACCTCGGAAACTGTAAGCCACCCAATTAAATGTTTCCCTTTATAGGAGTTGCCATGGTCATGGTGTCTCTTCACAGTACTAGAAACCCTAACTAAGACATGACAGAAGACACTAAATGATACAGCAAAAATATGAGCACAAAGTTCTCAAAGAACAGAGGGGAACACTACTTCTACACTGATGAAGTCTCACTGACAGCCATTTAGCTGATGTGAATTCCCAGTATAGACGGAGCAGAAGCCAAGACTCTTACCTGTGGCTCTACAGCCAGGACACTAGCAAAGCAAACTATCATGAAGCAAAGAACCCTGTGACCAATGGTTGGTCCAAAGCAGAGCCTGAGGCAAGTGTGGGAGCTGAGTTGTCAAGCGGGGGGCATGGAAAAGCAAAGAGGATCAGAGAATGGAATTGTGGTAGTTAATTCTCAGAACCCTGCTCAGAGCCAGCTGTTGTGACTGTCCTCGTGGATGCCCTGCGACATCAGCAATGAGTGTGAATGAGCTCAGGAACAGAAACAGAAAAGACCCAGCCGAATAATCCTACTGGTAGATGCTGGGGAAACCTTGGAGAGGTATCATGTGTGCTGATTTTGAAATCTGTGCAGGAGTTTCTGGCAAAGAAAATTCCTTGGAATTGAGTGTTGATCCTTCCATGTGCCTCTTCACAATACTATTCGCCTGGCATTCAAGGCTACCTGTCCCCAGACACCAACCTAAGTTTCCATCCCAGCACATTCTCCACCACATTTACATACATGGGGCTCATCTTTGCTCCCCAAGTAGTCTCCGATTCTTTAACTTATTTTTGTCACCCTGCCCCCAAATGCCTTGCCTTCTTCTGATTAAAACTGTGCATTTGTCTCTTTATTTTCTATTTTTATTTTATTTTTGATTATTTGAGGATTTCTCTGTATAGCCCTGGTTGTCTTAGATCCACTCACCTCTGTCTCCCAAGTGCTGGGATTAAAGGTGCGTGCCGCCATCACCCAGCTAACTGCATTTTTTTTCACCCTCTAGCCCCAATAATAGTCCATCTTGGAAGGGTTCCTCTCACATTACCAATGACCCAGGGAAAAGGAGCCATTCTTTAGATTTCTTCAAGGTCCCCACTGGCCAAGCTTCTCTCCTGACTTCAACTAAACACAATGCTTGGAAATCTATTTGATAAGTTATGATTGTGGTAAGCTGTCTGTGGACGGGGCACATTCTGTTTGCCTAGCCTTTTGACTACAAAGGTGCCATCTGTGAAGAGCTGAGTTAGTACCTGGTGAACTTTGGATACGCACATCCTTGGTTCTCCAACTGCTAGCCTTCCAGTAAGTTTACTCCTTTTTTTTTTTTTTTTTTTTTTTCTGAATCATTTGTAACTGAGTTGCAAGCAAGCACCCTGATACCCGGCCGCCCGAGTACTTCAGCATATGGACTTCTTCCTATAAAACCACAGCCATTTCCTCAAATCTAATTATCGCCCATCTCCTGGGATCGACAAGTTCCCCAGTGGTGTCCCAGATGTCTATCATAACCTTCCCTCTTTAGATTGGAGATGCCATCAAACTGATACATTGTGTTAGTTGGTCCCTTTTTGCTTTTATTAAGACATTAAGATGGTCAAATGTTTCCTCAACCTTTGGGTGTCAAAAATCTTAAAGGACTCCAGGAAAACCTACTACCAGAAACAGAGATGAGCTAGTCAAGTTTCCTGGACCAGGAAGCATGGATTATTTCTGAAGATGCCGGCTGCCTCCAATGGAGAAAGACAGTCACTGCTATCAGCTAGAGCAGTGGTTCTCAACCTACAGGTCATGACCCCTTTAAGGGTTGCATATCAGATATTTATATTACAGTTCATAACAGTAGCAAAAGTATAGTTATGAAGTACCAATGAAATAATGTATGGTTGGGGGGTCACCACACCATGAGGAACTGTATTAAAGGATCGCAGCATTAGGAGGGTTGAGAACCACTGATCTAGAAGAGTCTTAGGGGACAACTGTCTAGGAGATGGGATGCCTCCTACTGTCCTCTACAATCACCCACTTCACGCTACACTGAACTTTTCTAGGGTGTGTTCCATAAAAACAGATCACTACAGGGCAATGACCACCATGGTGACCATGGATGGGCACTGAAGTCCTTTTGAAACCATAACCGATAAATTAGAGAAATCGAGGGTACAGGGTGATTCTTATCAAACTTTCTGGACGTGGGCATTGGTTGAAAGCCCTCAAGAGCTGTAGTGATTCCCCCTAATTTCTCACAGACAATAGCAGCACAGCTATTGAAGGGCCTCAGGAAACAAAGGGAAGGGGCAGCCTCGGTCAGAGTACAGACAAGGAAAAGAGAGCTTTAGCCACTTCTGAGGAGCCAGAGACTTACACAGAGAGTCCAGGCAGGGACTTGAACTTGTATGACCTTAACTTTTAGGAACTGCTTAACTTTTAGGAACTTGGTAAAGCAGAGGAAGTTGGGTTAGAATTAAATCGCAGTTACTTAAAATAAGAATAAAAATAAAAAACTTCTGTCTGTATATTACAACCACCTTGTGAGGAGGAGCCTTACAACTGTGGCTTTTTAACCCATTCCTTTTCCACTGTGATGAAAGCAGCTCTGAGTGGGAGGCGTGTGCGTGTGTGTGTGTGTGTGTGTGTGTGTGTGTGTGTTGGCTTTCTGCCCCCACCCCCTACAGGGTCACTTGGAGCCCACGGCCGACCTTGAATTTATTAAGTAGCTGCAGATGCCCTTGAACTTCTGATCCTCAGGAATTTGGGGATTGCCAGTGTGGATGAGCGCAGGCAGGACTGAGAACCTGGGTACGATAAGAAGTTCAAAAGCTGATTCTCAGAAAGGAATCAAGTTAGTGAGCCGGCAGAAAAGTACACTGGACTCCTTCTACCATCCCGAGGAGTGTTGCTGGCAGTGTGCTCCAGTGTCTCCAAACTAGCTCATTCCCCTCCTCCTCACCCCAGGCTGAGCACCGTTATTACCGAACAGTGGCTGCCGAGGCAGCGTACTGTGGAGACGCATGCGTTTTCCAGGGAGAATGGAAGATACCGGGAAGAGAAGATCGCAACATTCTGGAGATGTTCACTCACCACCACTTTTTTTTTTTTTTTTTTTTTTCTTTCTTTCCATGCTCGATTCACAGAGCTGGGCGACCACTGAGGTGGGAAAAAGAACAAGATGGCCGCTCAGCCTGCCTGCCTGGCAGATTCCAGTCCCAGCCAGCCACCACCAGCTCTCCACATGCAGGACTTGAAGCATCTGCCAGACGGGTGCTGGCTTTTGATCAGAACTGTGTCAAGCCAGAGACCTGCAGGGAAGCCGGCAGGCTCCCTGGAATTGGCTAGCAGGAGTCTTCCTAGCTTCCTCGAGCGAGTTACTTGAAGAATTTGAGCACAGACCGGGAACATGGATGGATGGGGGCTGCATAGCAATGACCGGACCTTTTTTTTCTGAGGTCAAGTCATTCCAGCCAAGGGAGGCCAGGCACCCTTTCCCCTCTGGCGGATGGAGCTGGATTTGGGGCTGCATTTGCAGTTTTAGCTAGTGACCCTGGGCACAGAGTCTTTTAACTTTGTGGAATAATACCTGTAAAACCGAGGCCACTAGAGTGGGTTCCCAGTGTCCCTGTGGGGCGTGTGACACCGTGACAGGGCTGTTTACAAGACATATGATCACTCCAGCGCGTCCACTCAGCAAAGTCTGCTGGAGGCCTCATCTTTTCAAGAGGTCCTCTGGGGCGTGGGCTGCTGTCCTTAGGAAACACAGTTTGCATCCTTAAGGGAGGTTCAGAAATCCCCGAAAGCTGTCAGGAGCCTGTGTCTGGCTCTGGTAGGAGCAGCCAGGCCAAGGGTTAAACAGAGGCTTCGACTGTTCTGCGCCTGACAATAGCCGTCTACAGGACTCCAGGCCGCTAGTCTTTCACACACCAGTTCGGCTTATTGGCCCTAACCTTCAAAGAACCCAGAGGTCCCTGCCTAGCTCGATAAATAAATCCAATTCTACTCTAGCAGACGACAAAGTTCAACTGTTGACTCCCTCCTGAATCTCTCCGTTCACTCCTTCCCTCGTGGCACCCTAGCCCCACGCCTGTTCAGCCCTCCTTTCCTCTGGGGATAAATCAGCCTCCGTTTGCGTTTCTGTTTTAATTCTTTCAAAGGATGAGGAATGTTGACACCCTTGAAACATGCCTCTGATGTCTGGTTAGACTTCAGACGGCTGTATGTGAGCGCGCACTGACGTAATCGGGCCTATTGGGTTAAACCAAATATTACAATCGCAAGAACTCATCTGGAACTAATAATTTTGAGGCCACCGAAAGTAAAAGGGCCCCGCTTTGGGCCTGGCCAGAGACAGAGGCCAGCTCGGGCCAATGCTGCCACCTGCCGTGGGCGCGGGGAACAGGGCGCGCCGCCCCGGCCTTCCTGTTTTGTTCCCGACCCCTCTGCACCCACGCAAGACAGCAAGACAGGTTCCTCGCCAGCCAGACCAGGGCTATTTTAAAAGGCTAGCGCCTGTCCCCAGCCCTTAAGATAAAGATAGCCAGTCTGACTGCTCACTGTCTTCTCTGAAAAAGGGCCATTTCCCAATTATAGTGCCAGGCTTGGCTAGTAGGGCACTCGCGACTAGTCGGAGCTCCATTAAGCACACAACCCTTGTACTAAAAGGGGATCGTGTGTCGCCGGCTCACTTAGAGGAAGGCTCATTTAAGAAAGAATGTTTTATTTTGCGGGGGATGAAGGAAACGCACAACTCTGGGTTCTGTCGGCACATTGCTGAACTGCAAGTCACGTGCCAGATCCAGAAATGATGAAAACATCTGTTTTTGCTTTAGCCCAGCGAGGCCCCGACGGTGGGGAGGGGCAGGGAAGGGACCGAGATGGCTTTGCTCACGCGCGCCATCTGCCGAGCCTACGCGGGAAACGCGTGTGTCCCGGGCACAATGCAGGTTGCTCACCCCCCGGGAAGGGACAGATCAACAGGTGGGGGTCTTTCCCCGGGAGACCATACTCTTCAGAGGACAAGCCTGGCTGTGTCCCGGGAACTTTGCAACTTTGAATTGTCTCAAAGTGCTCTCAACAAAAAGATCTGTCCCTGGAGACTGCTCTAGGGCAGAGGAAGAGGCCGAGGGAGGCAGCGAATGAATTGCCAGGTTGGAAAGAAAAGAGGTAAGGGGGGAGGGGAGGGGCTCTTGGTTTGCAGACAGTAAAATTTGCTGTTCCTGCCGGCTGAAATCTCCCAGAACAAAGAAACCACTTCCCAGCTCCCGCCCTGCACTTCCACCAACCAGCTCTCTTTCCTGGTATGGTGGTTTTGTACAGTAAGTCTGAGAATGCTCCAGAATTCAGAGAATACTATTCTGGTCAGGCAGAGCTTGTCCACCCTTTATGTGTAATTCGCCCAACCTCAAGAAGCCGGTGCTGGATCCAAGCTCTGAACAGAAGCCACACTGGCAGCCATGACATGCCACCTTAGCGTTTTTGTTTTTTTTTTCTTTTGTTGTTGTTGTTTTTCAGTGTTCCCCGAGTTATTCATTGCTTGCCTACCAGGTCTCACTCAGCACAATTGTTTGTCATGATATATATATATCAAATACGTCATGGGAAAATGTGTGCTCTGTGTCAAATCACTGTTGCACACAATGGCATCTGGGACCTCGGAGGCAAGGAGGGGATTACAGATGCAGACAGGATGTGGAATCCACCTTTGCTCTCAAGGCAGTCATCTCGATGCAGAATTCCTTCCCTCAGCCTTCCTCCACCCTGGCCTCCAGTCTCTTCCACAGACACCCTTCTCAGCAGTGCTGGGAGGACAATCTCAGAGGACCATCAGTGGCAGCCCACTACTCCATGTCAGAACTGAGCTGGGGCTCAGACTCCCTTCCCAAGCTTCTCTTCCTTTCCAGATGCAGCTCCTAAGGCTTTACTGTGGAGCTGTATGAACAGTGCTGACCACAGGTGACAAAGTGACAGGGGCTTCTGTGTCCTTTGAGACTGGGCTACTGAGCACACCCTCAGCTCTGAGGCCACATTCCCCGAAGTAAGTCTGTTTGTGCAGCCTGACCGTCTTCTAACCTACAAACTTGCAGATTTAAAAAGGAAACAGAGGCTGTCTACCTTTCCCACCCCTTTCCCAAACAAGTATAGAAAGAGCTGTCTTTTGTATGGGTCAGGAATCTGTGTACTCTCTAATGGATTTCAGAAAAAGACACCTCATTTTTACAGTTGCACAAATTTCCTCAAAAGCAACCCCATCCTCAGCAGAGTAGCCATATCCCTACTGACCATATCTGTTTCCATGGTACCAAGTTCTTATATTGCTGAGGCCCAAGCTAACCTCCGAGTCCCTGCAGGCTCCCCTGTGCCCGGCAGCACTCAGGTCTGGTGTTGGAACATTACCAGTTCCCAGGGAGCCCTTCCCACCAGTACAGTCAAGTTCTTTTCTTGTTTCAGGCTGTAAAATG